GGCGCATGATTAATGACTGCAAACCCATGAAGTTTGCGCATGTCCACGTCAGCTCTGTGCAACTGTCTACATGTCAGCCCAGGTTTTATCCAAATCCGATACGGATTTCCCTTGCAATGTGCATGTCCATTCTCATGATGGTTTGCGGCACCTGCCTCTATGCCATGCAGTTGCCTCCGGCCCCTGAGGTTGCAATAAGGGGCGGTTTGGCGCCTGTTTTTTGGTCCGACGCGGCAAGGAATGATGTTTGCACATCAATAAACTCCTGAGAATGGACTTAAGACGGCCCCTTCTTCGCATTTTGTTTTGAGATAGGGCTTGGCTCATAGCATTCTGAAGGGCCGAAGCTAGACGCGGGTTTATGAGTGTTGTCGCGAGGGCGTGAGGGTGTTGGGACGGTCCCGGGCTGGAAGGCGGGTTGGGGCTGGCGTGTGATGTGCGTCAACTCGCTTGCACCTAACTTAGCTGGTGCTCAGCGAGTCAGTCTTAGCGCTAGACCCTCCCTTTTTGTTAAATGGCTGTGGGTCAAAAATAGGTACTCAAAATAGAACCTGGTAAATGGAACCAGGACTAAAACCTGCGGTCCCCTGGTGGTTTAACTTTGACAATACCCAAATGGTGGAATACTTTTCGTGGCCCTAGCAGTTGGCATGACGACATGTCGACGGCAATTTCGGGACAAGCAGGCGTGGCAACTTTCGAGAAAGCAAGACCACCCGGGCTGAGAGCAGTTAAGTGAAGCAGGTAAGCAAAGGAGGCACACGTGGTCGCAGTTTGGCATTGCCGCGTTTGTCTCTGGCGAGTGTTGCTGCGAATTTTGAATGCTCGTCTTCCCCAGTTCATTTTTCCTGTCCCTCGGCGCTGCCCTGAGGACAGCATGGAAGGTATCCAGCAGCTCGTCCGCACAAATCTTGCACAGTTGAGTGATTTGGCCAGCTCAGAAACGGTCTTCGGCTGCTTTGATTGGGATTGGCTTTCGCAAGCCCAACGTCACCTCAGCAAAGGCAAGTTTGCGTGTTTGAGCTGCAAACGCCCGACGTTCGTTTTTTTTGCTGTGTGATTTCGAGCCTGTCCTTTCAGGTGGGTCCTGTTGAACATGTTCGTGGCCGCTTGCTTAGACCGGGGCGAGAGGCACTCTGGTCGAAGAGTTCTTCGTTAATTACGGCTTGGCTGCTATTTGGATCTTTTCGACATTCACTTTGTAGGAATGCTGAACAAGCAGAACAGGCTAAGCTTTTTGCAGGGGGGGGGGCTTGACCCAGATGGTGTGTGTGTGTGTGTGTGCGTCCGTGTTTGCGTGGCACTCGGCTTCTTTTGCGAGGTCGTGAGAGGTCGTGAGACCTGAAGCATCCACACCCACAACATGCGATCACCAAGTAGGTGCACAAGCAAGTGCTCCTGCTTTTGGCGGGCCACTGCTTACTGCCCACCAGACGCGGCTGCTGCCCCTTTTTTCTCCCTTTTCTTGTAGGGTGCTTCTCTGAAAAAAATGCCCAGGTTCAACAGAAAGCCCCGGACTTCCCCGGGAACAATCCGTTTAAACCCTCCCTGAAAGCTGCCCAGAGCGTAGCTGAGCCCATCGGCGGAATCCGCTGAGCTCAGGCCGTGGGGGACAGGCTGTTGCAGCGCCTGATGCTGGCCAAGGCAGGGAGACGTTTCGGCGCACGTCCGAGCAAGGGCCTTTTTCAGTCGGAAGGTTTGGTTTCCACGTGAACGACGTTTTCTGCAGGTGAGCGTGAAACGCATGAAACCCACAAAAAAAGGTCCGTCCATTCTGCAGGAAGCTCCATTTGGGCGGCGACACGGTTTGGGCTTCCTTGCTCATTGGCAGAGCGTTGTACACAGGTTGCGAGGCATTGCCTGTATGGTGTGTGACTGCAAGCCCATAGCACCCACAAGGACGCCGCTCGCCAGGTTTGAACTCTGCGAAGCAATATTTGTCAACGGTGGTAACAGAAAGCATCCCCGAAGCGCAGACAAGACTTTTCGTGCCTCTGAAAACGACACCTTTGAACAATTCCAAAGGATGATGTTTCCCCCTGCAACCGCTGTGGTCATGAGCCTTTTGTCTCGGCAATGGCTACTCCATGTCCGAAGGAACCACATATTGGCTACGCCGAGGTTTAGCAATTTGACTCATCCCAAAGCAGTCAAAGGGTTTGGGTACAGGCAATGAAATCAAAACATGGCACCAAAACACCCCTAAAAAAGCTGTTTTCCTGTAGAACTTCCTGCAACCCAACCCTTTGAGGGAGTGCTAGAGCCACGAAGACGGAGGTTGCGCATGTGGGTCCGAAGCTTGTTAATAGGGCCGAAACTGAGATACTCCGTCTGACGCCTCAAGCTCTGGCGCTCACATGTTGGCCATGTTTCTTGGATGGCCCACCTATTTCCATCAATTGTTGGGCTCTAGCACCCCTTTGGAACTTGCGAAACATATGTCCATGTGTGTAGGTGCTACAGTAGTACGTGCAGATGCTACTCAAAGATATTTATTGCCTGCTGCAGGATCAGAGCCCAGTCGACATCTCAAAGACCGGGGTGACGCTCATCAACAACGCTGTGGGCGCTGTTGTTGCACCATGGCTTCAGGATGTGTGAGTGGTGCGCCACATTCTCATATTGACACTGATCTTGTGATTTGCATGTCAGCCAGCATGACATGTGTCGCCATATTCATGTTTCCTAGGATGCCCCGGTCTTAAAACTTCCTCCCCGACTCCTTTGGGCGCTTGCGTGATCTTGCGCCGGCCGCTTGCGCGCTTGCGCCGGCCTCAGGTGGGCTCCATCGCCTTGGGCAACGGCGAGCTGCGGAAAGGCCCGCAGGACCTGGCGCAGCTGAGCGCCGGCCCGATGGTCATCGTGGCCTGACTTCTCGCGCGCTTTCGAGTGCGAGAGAGATGCCACGGGCTTGCGATCGGTGTGAGAGACGCCACGGGAATGGGACATCCGAGATAAACCATCCTCAATTCGGGTAAGGGGATCTCCAGGAACATTCCCTCATTTATTGCTGAGCACCAGCAAGAGGGGAGGGAGGCTGTCCCGAGTCCTGGCCGTGTCCCGTTTGGTTTTGGCGGTGTCACGCTGGCGGTTTGCTTGCCCGCTGGCGAGGTGTCCTGCTGGCAGTTCGGTGGTGTCCTGCTGGCAGTTCGGTGGTGTCCCGTTGGCGTCGTCCCGCTGCATGGTTTGGTTGTGTCCCGCTGGTGGTTTTGTTGTGTCACGCTGATGTTTTGGTAGTATGTTGGCAGTGTGGTGCTCCGGTGGCGTTTTGTTTCTGTGGTGTCCCAGTGTCGTCCCGGTGGTGTCTCCGTGTCCCTTCGCGTATTGCTGGTGGTGTCCCAGTAGGTTCTCCTCCGCAAATTTGACGGTGTCCCACTTGGTGTCCCAGCAAAGTCCCAAGGTTTGGGTTTTCGGTGGTGGTTCTGGCGCTGCTCTGATGAGATTTCGGCTGTTCCTGAGTCATGTCCTGCTCCTGTTGGTGATGGGCTTCGGTGGTGCTTTGCTGGTCTCCGGTGGTGTCCTGTCGTTTTTTCGTGGTGTCCTGGTTGTGTCCCAGTGTGTTTTGAGGGTGTTCCACTAGTGTGCCGGTGGTAGTTTTTGGTGTTCGGTGGCGTTTGGGATCACCTCCGGTATCTCCGTCAGTGGTGACCCGTGCGTCTTGTCCTGGTGTCCTGCTGTTCCAGTTCTGCAGCAGCAGCAGCAGCAGCAGCAGCTGCAAGCAGCAGCAGCAGCAGCAGCAGCAGCAGCAGCAGCAGCAGCAGCAGCAGCAGCAAGCAGGCAGCAAACGGTCAGCGGCAGTAGTGTCTCGTTGATGCAGCTTTCCGGTGGTGCCCTGGTCGATATCGTCAGCTTCCCTCCCAGTGTATCTGTCGGTATTCGCTGGTGTCCCGTATCCAGGTGTGTCTTGGTTGGCTGTTTGTGACCAGTTGAGCCGTCCTGTGCCCAAGTCGAGTGAACTACCCTCTCTCCAACAATCAACGAAGTTGACCGGGACCTTTTTTGGGAGGATGGTCTGCACGCCTCTGTCCACTTGAGCAGTTGCTGGAAAGAGGGTGCTCGCGCAAATGGCTGTGAGTCAAAACCAGTGGCATGATTTTGCGGTAGGTGCACCACCCATTTTAGAACCTCTCTTTTAGTGGTTGGATTGGGATGTTCACTGGGGGGTGACTGGGCTTTTGACCCATGCCAAAATGGGTGTGGGTCAAAAATAGGTACCCAAAATGGAACCCTGGTAAATGGAAACAACGACTAAAACCCGCGGTCCCCTGGTGGGTTAATTTTGAGCCATACCCAAATGGCGAAAGTTGAGGTGGTGCTCAGCTGCATCGTGAGCGTTGGCATCAGCTACACCGGGGTGTGGGCGCAGAGCCTCATCAGTGCCACCAGCTTCCTGATGCTCGTCAACGCCAACAAGTTTGTGATCATCTTCTATGAGGCGCCCCCCAATGGCCTGGAGGGGAGGGAGCCCCCAGAGGGGGAGAGGGGGAGGGGGCCGCCAATAAGTTTGTGATTATCTTCTATGAGGCGCCCAGGGAAAAAGGGGCAGGGAGGGAGGGGGATGGAGGGGCAAGGGATCCGAACAAGCGATGCGCGCCGGAGAATTTCAAGACCAAGCGCTCGCGATTTCACGTGAAGGGTGCGCATTTGGCATCAGATAGGTCTGCCCCGCAAAGCGAGGGTTGAAATGATGTGGCCGGCTCCAATGGGAGCTGCAGGCAAAGCAGTCCACCAGGGCAGACCGCGTGCGCCTGGCTTTGCATGTGAGTGGCTCCGCGCTTGAAATTCCGGCTTCACGTGCTGCTACACCGGTAAACCTGAAAGTGGAATTGGTACGCCCAATGCGCAGAGCGGATCTGTATTGGAACTGCTGCCTGCAGCCCGGCTTCTAGGTTGTTTCTTGACTAGGGGCGTTCAGGCGGTCGCAGGGTGGTCGCACCCGTATTAATCACGCGCAACTTTTCCCACACGGTGTCTCGGAGTCTGCAGGATAAGCGGCGATTCTGCGCTTGCCAGGTGTTGTTCATGCAAAGCAAGGTGATTGACAGAGTGCAGCTTGTCGGGGCAGTCATGGCAGCACCTTGGCAACAGGGCCCTGTGCACAATGAAGCCCCAGCGAAGGTCGGGGAAAGTCTCAGCTAAGCGGCTTTTGGCCACTTGGACCACGATCAAACCCGGGTAGATGAAGGTTAAGGGATAATCCCCTTGCCATAAATGGGTGCAGCCGCCATTTTGATTCTTTACATGGTTCTGGGTTGGCTAGTAGAATACCAGGTTTTTCGTTACGACTAACTTCAATACCGTACAGGAGTTGATTGTGACCGCGGTTACAAGCCAGAAATTGCCTGGAGACTTCCAAAGAAAGGCCGTCAGTACGGAGGCGTGCTTTGCAACGACAGCGTTTGAAGGATTCATCCTCGAGCAAGAAAGCCTTCGCGAGCGAAAGGCATGCCCTCTCCCTTCTCTGTTTTCGGTTTCTGGATCTCAGAAACCTTAGAAAAGAATAGCAGCCCACCAACCCACCCGCCCACCCACCAGCCAACCAACCAGCGCACCAAAACTCACCACCCACCCAACCACCCACCCGCCCGCCCACCCAACCAACCAACCAACCAACCAACGCACCAAAGCCCACCAAAACCCACCAAGACTCGCCAAAACCCGCCAAAACCCACCAAGACTCACCAACACCCGCCAAAACCCACCCTCTCCCACCAACACCCCAAGACAAACCCACCCAGCCACTCGCCAATCGCTGCTTTCTGGCCCAATTTCGGTCCCGAGGTCACCGCCAGTGTGCTCTACGGCCGCGCCCGGCAAGTCCTCGAGGCCGAGCAGCACAGCGAGGCGGGCGTGGGGAGCCGCAAGACTTCCAGCTGGGTACCCGCCCAACTGACATGGCTGTGGCTCCAAAAAAACGGAATTCCAAAATGGGTTGCCCTGGTAAGTGGAATGGACCAAAACCTGCGGTTTGCCCCTCCTGTTTAATTTTGAGCCAAACCCACATGGAAGTGCACAGACCCGGCTTTCCAAGAGGAAAGTAAGTAGTCTTTCTACAACATTCTGTGCACTTGAATGTTTGTTGGTGGGAGGGTAAGATTTGGGTATGGGTCAAAATTAAGCCACCAGGAATTGGAGCCGCAGATTTTGGTCCTTCTTTCCATTTAACAGGGCAACCCATTTGCGGTACCTATTTTGACCTACAGCCATTTGGTTAAGAATATTTTTTGATTTTCCCCTGTTGGTTTTAAAGGGAATATATCACTACTGGAAATAGTTTAATTTTGTCCAGGTGATTTAAGCAAATGGAGGACAATGGCATGGTTTAGCATTGCATTTGGGTGTGGCTCAAGATTAAAGAGCTAGGGCCAACCGCAGGTCTTAGCCTCGGGATCCATTTGCCAAGGTGTCCTTTTGGTACATTTTGCGCGATCGACAGCCATTTCAAAAGCTCCAATCCACAAGTCGACGGTTGGCTCCTTGTTGTTTTGCTTACCTCTTAAAAACACAGCTTTTCAACTTTTTGGGTAACATGGGCTATATGTCTGTAAAAGATTAGCTTCCCCAGGGCTTGGAGTTTTAAGGGGTAAGTTTGGGAAGGACACAAGGGTTTTGGACAATTTGCAGAAGCGCTTGCTCAAGTTGCCAAATCAAGTCGGCTCTGTCTCTTTTGACCTGGACAAAGAGGGATTGCTAGCAGGAGCAACAAACAAAGTGAGCTAACGGCAATGTGCCATCGCTTTCGCCTAGCTTGCTGGTGATAGATGGGGAACCCAAATAAAGGAAACCATAGGATGGAAGGTCTGTGTAGGGGTCAGTCCAGCTCATTCCTTGCTGGGAACCAGCAGGTTTAGCAATTCCTTTCGCACATTTCCTCATTTTTTGCGGGACTCTCGGGTGCATTCTTGAGCCATACCCAATTGTGGCCCCTACGGGTCCTGTCTGGGCACTTAGCTTTTTTTCTCCCTCGTTTGGGGTTCCCCTAGCAACTCAAAAATTGGGAGGGGGGTGATCCCTCCATTTCTAGTTTCATTTTCCTTGTGGGGGGGACTAGAAAATTGAATTCTCCCCATTAGCCGGGATGGTGACCAAAAATTGGGTGGTCCCCCAAATTCATGTTTTTGGCTTCCCTTTGCACTCTGCCATATAATTGGGGGGCCCTCAAAATTAGCGTTGCTTTGCCGTAGCGTTACCGTTAAAGAAAGACACACGCCCATGCAAAAAGGGTTCCCCGAGTTTTGGAGACACTTGGCCCGGGTGACTGCACATGCTCTGTGCTCTTGAGCGGCAGGTGGTGTCCGGAGAGCAGAGAGGTGTGCAAATCCATGAAATCAAAACCAGGGAATGAACATAGGTGTCCGTTTGATCGGTTAGTTTTGGTTAAAAAGTAGATGGGTCCCACTGGTTTTAGATGGGGCTTGCGCCCCATTTGTCGGGGAAACTCATCTATTTTTCCCAAAAGGCCACCTATGGAGATGAAGTTTCGCCGGTTGCCAGAAAAAGGTTCAGGTCCCGGTCCAGTGGATCCTGGATCTGGCTCCTCGGCTCCTCGAGTACACTTTGCACCACTGCAGGACTCGGCAGAGACCAAGGGGATTAAGAACGACGAGAAGACCGCGGGCAGTAAGTATGTGTAAATCCGCCGGCACCGTTCTGCCGAAGTGGTTCTCCCCCCCCCCCCCCCGCATGGCACCTGGCAGGGTACTCCCACAGGTGCTGTGGGAGTACCTGGGTGAACGCGTGAGTTATGCGTTTTTCGGCCCGTGTCCGGGCTGGTGTTACACAGGGGGAAAGAAGCAAAGAAGCCAGTTGAGCAGTTGTTGATCCATGAAAGGGCTTAAAAGGGAACTGCATGAAGCTATTTTTGGGAGGCATGCTATCGGAGAACAGTGCGGCTGTCAGCTCGGAGACTTAGGAAGTGTCAGGCTACAAGGGTAGATCGAGGCATGCTGAAACCCACTAGATAGTTCACCACCCCAAGCTGGGAGGGTAACAAAAAGCTGTTCGACCCTCCATTGTAGTCGGGGATTCGAAAGGCTAAGAGGGCCTTCTCTGAACCGAGCAACTTCGTGCGCTCCTGGAAAAGGCGCCAGCAGTGAACGTGGATGTGTCCCCCTGTCCGTTTCAGATGGCAGTTGAAACCAAACTGAAGCCGGCCTACTTTGTTCCTGGGCGCAAAAGCACCCTTTCAGTCGAACTTGGTTCAATCAACCTGATCAACACCAGGGGTGGATTAGTGCTCGTTTCCCAGATGCGCCTGTCCCATGCCGCCACTGAACTTCCAAGGAGCCGGCGGGTGCGCGAGCGCATAGAGAGGGCCTGCGCCTCAGAGGCGAAAGGTTTTCTGAATCCGATCTTCTAAATGCAGATGCCCAATTCTGCGGGGCCCTTTTGGCTTTTTTGGAGTGTCTCCCTTTGAAGTAAGCCAAATGCCGAGCAAGGTGTGTGGCCCCAGGTGTGATTCGGCGCGGGTGGTCCGAATTGGGGAGGGTTGAGAACCCCAAAAGAAGGCTACAAACCTATACACCTAGGGGTACCTTAGTACTACCTTCCCCATTCTTTCCAGTAGACCTGAAGAAACCCCGTGAAAACGACTGGTTTTTGAAAAGAATGGCAAAGGGACCAACCCTTAGAACACACAATCCACACAAACATGTCATTTGGGGGTCAATGCGCTTCGAGCCGTGCGCCGGTTTTTGGAATCGTAGGCCAAGGAGCACCGGCTGCAAGTCATCACCCTGAAGGCCATGGCCCAAAGGGTTTCTCAAAGGAATTCTCTACTGCTATTGGGTTGGATCTTTAGACTTTAACTTTTTTGATTCCCTCATATTTCCTTTTAACCAGCAAAACGTTTAACTTTTTGCTGGGGGATCTACAGCACCCAAGAAATGCTTGGTTCTTCAAGGGGCAGGGTACTTAGCACTGGTTAGTAAGCCTGGTTATAACCCGCTTAGGAGACTTATAACCATAGCAAGTGGGTTATAACCTGGCTTACGAATCCCTCACTAAGTACTCTGCCCCTTTAAGTTTCCTCTTGGTTTTATTCAAATGCCCAAAAGGGGGTCCACTTTGAGAAGCTTTCAACAGTGGGGCGACTTTGTTTTGGAGGGCGCAACCGACGACGCCTACTGGGAATTTGTTGTTTGTTTTTTTTTGGGCCCGGGCAGGGAGCAACAATGAACAATATGAGTGCACTTACGTGTTTGTTTGCTTTGTGTGGTCGGCGTGGTGGGAGTGGGGTAGTGAGCACTCGACAAAACACTTGGTACTTGTTTGTTTTGTGTTGCCGGGAGCAATCGGCGAAACACTTGGTACTTTGTTATTTTGTTGAGAGGGAGCATCTGAGCAGTCGTTTGTTTTAGGGAGGGAGTAACCGACGAAACAGTTGCCACTTATTTGCTTAGTTGTTTTGGCAGGGAGCAACCGATGAAAAAAGTGGTACTTCGTTTGTGCACTATTGTTGTTTGGGTCGACGAAACTAGGCAGGGAGAAACCGTCAAACATTTTACTCTGTTGTGTTGTGGGTGAGGAGTGACCAACGAAACTATTGGTACTCCATTTGTTGTCAGGAGGGAGCAACCAGCACTATTGGAACTCCATGCTGGCTTTCTTTGAGGGAGTTGTTTTGGGGAGGGAACCACCCGCAAGACTATTGATCTTACATTACAAACCAACGGAACTACAGGAACTTGTTTTATTATTATTCTATTTGGGGGGGAGATGAGACATGATAGAAATTCCACATTCACATCTAGGTGCCCAGCTTTTTTTCCGTTTCTTTTTTGGTTCATGACATGTGGCGAAGCAGCTGGCCATGTGAAACCTAAGGGTGACGTGACGAGACGGAAAGAGCAAGCAATGAAGTCATGGGGTATGGGTCAAAATAAACCCACCGGACCGCAGGTTTTAGTCTTTGGTTCCATTTATCGGGGTTCCATTTTGGGTACGCATGTTTGACCCACAGCCATTTGGCTTGAACAAATTTGCAGGAATGTGTGAGGCACCTCTTTTCAGAATGAGTGGCCCCATTCTTTTGTTGCTTGCTGCAAATGCGGAGGACAAAATAACAGTGGTGTAGTCATAGGGCACGCATAGGCAATATTGAGAACGTGGCTGGAAACACAGGTGCATGCTCCTTTGTGCTTCGGATAATGAGTAGAAACTGTCCCAGGTTCAATGCCGGCCAGGTGGTGGAACGTGGCGAGATTGCTGCAGAGGCCCTCGCCTGAGTGGAGCTAATGGCAACCCCGGATTTTTGTTTTTTAAGTTTATGTTATAGGGGGGTGTCCCTGGATGTAGTGGGGATTCGTCACTTTTGGAGGGGAACACCCCGCCCCCATACTAATACAGGGCTCCTTAAAAGATACATTTTGCCAATTTGAAACATGGTGTTTTCCACCAAAATAAAGGGACACCTGCATTTACAAGGCAATGTTCAGGTGTATAATGTAGGGATCCCTGTAATAAACAGGGGTTTCTTCATTTGGGGTCCAAATTACTGCCATTGGCGCTGGCGCATGCCAAGGTGGTCGGCCACACTGGCAACGTGTACAGCGTTCGTATAGGACTCCTGCTCGTGCTGTTGTGGCACCGCCAGGTCCCAGTGACTCAATCCGGTGGTTGTACATACCCCTTTTACATATGCCTTGGGCAAATGAACCCAACAGGGTTTCCAGCTGATGTTCCCTTCCCCCTCTCCCCAAAAGAGGAGAAACAAAAACATATATAAGGTGGGTTGCAACCCGGGGAAGCCAAGGGACCGGTATGAAACAAGGGGTTTTGGCACTTCCACCCTTAGACTCAAGGGCGGCATACAACACTCTGCGGGCTTTTGGGCTTTTGGAGGCTCGCTTCAGGTGTGCATTGCTCATAGCTTGCCTATGATGAAAGCTTAAAGGAAGCACCTCCCCGCGACGAAACGCCGAGTTCCCTTTGGGTCCGTCTTTTTTTTGGGGGGGACCCACAGAAAATGGAGGTTTTCCTGTTGGTTTTCACTGAAAAACCCTCGCCAACTAGGGTGCCCTCAATCAAAGCCATCCCCATTTGCAGCTAAAAAGTCCAACCATCAAATGGGTGCGTCTCTTTTTGGGGGACACCTCTGCAAAAATGGGCAGGTGTTCAACGTTTGGTCTCCTTAAAGCCACCAAAACCGACCGGGGGCTGCCCTAAAAAAGGGTCCAGCAAGGCCGCCTGGCGGAATCCCAGGGGTGGGGCTTTGGGGAAATCAACTTGGGGGGGGGGGGGGGTCCGGGCCATTCCCTTCTTGGAACTTTGCCTTTTTTTTACTTTTTCCTCCGGACTGAAGTGACTTGGAGGGTTCCAAGCCATTCCGGAGGTTGCTTCTTGGCGGACGCAAGCCCCGCATCTGTGCCTCCAGCTTCCGAAATGGCATTCGGGGCCAATGAGGAGCTCGGGTGTCCTGCAATTGCCTGGACTTCGGCAAGGAGCGGAGGGTTGGGAATTTGGTTTGGGCGCTCAAGGTGCTGCGGTGGTTGCTGGCGGTGTCTGTCTTGCGACGCAGTGATGCGGTTTTGGTTGGTGCTCAGGCCTGTTTCGGCGGCGAAGGTGCTGCTTGGTTTGCTGAAGCTGCCATGGCGGCGCTTCTTTGGCGATGCAGTCAGGGTGCTGGTCAGGGTGTTTACATTTGCCATATCTGGGGTCTACGCTGAGCATTTTTATCGCCAAGAGGCGGTCGGCCCGAGTTAGCTCTTAGCTAGACACAGTTAGAGACGACTAGCTTTGATATATTTGTGTGTTGTTCTTTGAGGGTACCCTGTTTTGCTGATTGCCCCAGTCGAATCTGGAGAAATGGTGCTCCACCGGTGCATTTTGCCGTGCTGCCTCTACACATTCTGACCGCGGGCTATGTTTGAACGGAAACATGAAATCAACCGCAATATTTGGTTTCCAATAAGAAGTGCCTTTGGAGTTTCCCCAGTTACAGGGGACTTTGTTTGCCCTTTTGGGCACATGCTTCTGTTGTTTTTAAATTACTTCTACGGGTCCCCGGTGGGTTGCCTCTTCTCCCCCCCCTCCCCCGGCTTTCGACCTGCTATTTTGACTGCCTCTCCCCGCCCCCCCCCCCGTTTTAGACTTGCTATTTTGACGCTTCTGGTTCTCAGTGGTTCAGTGGCTCCCCTTTCCCCCTTTTTTTTTGGGGGGTGGCTGCCCCACTAAAACGGTCTTCCCAAAGAAGGGGTTCTCTTTTTTTTCCAGGGTCCCTGAACAACTGAGGGTTTTGGCCGGGTTTCCAACCCGCCCGTTGCATTTGGCGGAGCCATGTGGACCCTTGCCATGCACAGCGGGCGATACCCAGCCGGGTGAAGGGCGGAACGAGGGGCACTTCGGCCAGCTTTCGGTCCGCCTCGCATTTCGAGGGAGAAACCGACACGGCTCCGGGTGAAAAGATTGGTACCCAAAATGGAACCCTAGTAGATTGAATAGGACGATTTATCCTGCAGTCCCCTTGTGGTTCCATCTTGATCCATGCCCCGACTTTTCCGCCTTGGCCTGGGAGGCGCGAACTGCCTGCAAGCACCTCCTCTTCCTCCTCCTACGAGTGCGCTTCTGCGCTTCTCGGGGCTTGAGACGACATGCGGGCGTGTGCTTTTTTTTGGGGGGGAAGTTCTTGTGCAATAAAACGGACTTGAGACGCGTGTGTGTGTATATATATATATATATATCTAGACATGTACACATATACTGTAAATGTATATGTGCATATAGAACTAGGTTAGATTCGGGCCACTACCACTTTGAGGATCCGTGTAAGAAAGTTTTCTCGTACACCGATGCCAAGGTACTTCAGTTGTCAGACGATGCCTGGATCTCAGCTGATCTCTCTAACTACGGCTTCATAATTGTAACGCTACTCAATGACCCAGGTGGTGCCTTTTGCAGATTAACATGACGCCCAACATGCCAGCATTTTTGGGGAAACTTATTTTTTGGGGGACCCCCGTTTTTGGCCTCCATGTGAATTTGCAGGGCGATAACGCACTGCTGCGACGGGTTCTACCCCAGCGTTACGCTTTCTGCAGTAGATGAGGCTGGTCTGTCTGTCCACTGCTTGTTTGGATGAAGCGGGCCATAAGCGGGCCCTGACAGCAACCTCAAGACATCGCGTTTCCTCATCTTGGGACTTTTTAAAGGTTACATGTTCAACATGCCCTGCGCTAACTACAATCCCCGCGGCCATCTCAATAGAGGACCATTCGCAGATCTGGAGTTACTGTTCTCAACTCCTGTGCCTTTTTGGACGCAAAACAGCTGCAGTGTGTGGACTTGGGAATCGAGCCTGGGGTTTGTTTCAGTTGAGCCACAATCAAAACCCGGGTAGATGAAGGTTAGTAAGGGAGAATCCCAGCCAGAAATAGCTGCAGCCGCCTTCTCAATTCTTTACATGGTTCTGGGTTCACCATGTTTGTACCAGGTTTTGATTGTAACTCAGTTGGGGTCGGTTGCTGGCTGTGAGGATCCGCGCTTATGGCAGAGAGCCCTGCTGCCACGAGAGCTGAGTGATTTGCGCGCCCGCTGGGGGCCCAAATGGGCCACGAAGTGATTTGCGATCCCCGTAGGTCCGTACCAACATCGAACACGTTGACTAGCTTAATTGCTTCTAGGTCACCCAGTAGTCCCCTTTTACCCTCTTTTTTTTGGGGGAGGGTTCCCCTACTAAAATGGACTACAGAAAAAAGGGTGTCCTCATTCTGAATCCGAGGTTTCCACAAAAAGGGAAGCGCAGGATCTCCCCGTCAATGTTTGCATCTGGCATCTTTGAGTCGGTTCGACAAGGTGGCCCTGCAACGGCATGGAAATAGTCGAGCAACAGGGCTCAGATCCTTGGTATATTTTATACATTTCTTATACTCATTGTACATATGCATATGCATATACATACATGTATGCAGGTGCATTTGCAGATGTAGTCACACATTGGCTGAGTTATGTGTGTACATGTTCATGCATATGATCCTCGCATACTTCTGTAGTTCCATTTCAGGAACTGTGAGTTTGACAAAGCGTTGCCAACATTGCACGCCTGCGCTGGAGCCGTTTTGGCTCTCGCTCCGGTTCGGTGATCTCTAGCGGGCATGGGGAACTGTACCAGAACCAGCGAGGCTCGAGTGGCCGGCGCCTCAGTTGTCGGTCGTTGGTCCTGTGGTGGAATCGAAGCATTCAAAGGTCAATCACTTTTAGGTCAAGTACAATCATACACGGCGCCCTGGATTCGTGCCGTGATGAATCCAGCTGCTTCAAGCAAATGACGACGCAGGTCATATCAATCAGCTGCTGCATGTGCTAATGAACCCTTCGAGGTATGTTCGACCACTTACTGCTTGTTTGGATGGGGAGGGGATTCAGCAACTTGATGTCCCCCTCCTTTTGCCCGGCGTTCCCAGCTGCTCTTGTTTAAAAAACACATGACCAGCCAAATGTAATGTCATTGCACTGCAAAGCGTTGTGTAATGTAACAGACTGCAACGCACTGCGGTAATCTATGTGCGCGTGTCTGGGTATGAGTATAGAAACGCTCTTGGCATACATGTTAGACGCGTATATAGGTGTATACGCGTTTGCATGACCGTTAGGACCGTTAGGACCGTTAGGGGGTGTCCTTCTGCAGTCCCAAGAATCCGACGAAGAACCGCTGCGATAGCTTCGAGGCGGCCAAGGTGCTTTCGAAGCTCTTTCCGTCAGATTTTGGGAGAGGTGGCCTGTCCGTCAGATGGGAAGCTTCTTTTGGCCCTTTCGGCCAGCCTGGGCCTTCCAATGCCAAGCCGACGTGCCTGACCTTTTGGACCCTGGGACCCTGCAAGCGCGTCATGCCACGTCCACCTTCCCCGGAAAAAACAATTGCCGAAGAGCCTTGCCACTTGGCAACTGAGGCGGAGACCGTCTGGCCGTCCTCCATGCAGGCGACATCATCCCGAACGATTGCCGGGGGGGGGGCTTCACCACAATCAATTGGTTCAGGCTTGCTTACTAATGTCCGCCTCGGATGAATAAATAGGGCCCCTCCCCCCCGGAATGACCCTAAATGAAGTTAAGGGGGAAAAAATCAGGATCGGGAAAAGTTAAGAATGTGTTTAGTATTGGGCTCTGTTTTTGTTTTGTTTTTCGAATACTACTTTAGAATTGGGCCAGTGTTGGGCATGTTGTTTTTCTTATTTGCTTTAAGGGAATACTAGTTTAGAATTTGGCCAATTCTAAAGTAGCATTGGGCCAAGAACTTTTGCATCAGTGGGAATCAGCTTAGCTTTATTTAGGGTCAGGATGTATTTAGTGCATGAGGCTTCATGGGGGGTAGCCTTGCTGGCAGGGCCAAGTTGTGTTTTCGAGGGTTTCCAGATAAAGAACTTGATGAAGGGAATCACTCCATAACTTTGGTCTGATGGAATTGGAATCAATATTTATGATGAGCCAGCTTGAATGGAAGCTTGCCCCTGAATAAAGATAAGGGATCAGAATATTTTTGGATCAGTGGGAATCAGCTTAGCTTTATTTAGGGTCAGGAATTATTTAGCGCATGAGGCTTCATGGGGGGTAGCCTTGCTGGCAGGGTCAAGTTGTGTTGTTGAGGGAGAATTTGATGAAGGGAATCACTCAATAACTTTGGTCTGATGGAATTGGAATCAATATTTATGATGAGCCAGCTTGAATGGAAAGCTTGCCCCTGAAAAAAAATAACGGATCAGAGCAATCAATTTTTTCGGGGGGAACCCTTAGCTTTATTTAGGGGTAGTTCATTATTTGGTTTGGGGAAACGTTTAGCTTTGTTTAGGGGGTAGTTTACTAATCGTAGGTGGACATTGATGCCCGACCGTCTCGACCCAAGTTTGATTTATAGAATGTGATTGAGGAACTGTTGAGCTTCCTCTGAGAATTTGGTTTGGGCTGTTCGATGATTTAGTATTGCTGGATCTTTCTTTTTGAGATGTTGGTTTGAGCTGCCTTTGATTTAGGACTTCAAACATCATATTTTCAGTGCCTTGAAATTTCTTAAAATGATATTCTATTTAAGGGAAGGCATCCTGAAAGGATGCACATTATTGTTCCATCTCGTTTGGCTTTGTGTTGCTCCATCATTTCCTGTGGTCCTGGGGCCCCGGTAAACAACAGAGCATTGACCGATCGGAAACTGGCGGTAATCTCCCCCCCTAACAATTGTAATTTGAGGGGGGGAGTACCCCAGTGAAATTTCATTTTTTGTTGCACTTTTGAGGGGGGGGGTTGTGAAACACGGAGGGGGCCAAAATAAAAATGTTCGAAGGGGCCCCTCCAAAACTGGTGCCTCTAAAACAAAATGGCTCGAAAACCACCAGAATAATCACAACGCTTCCAAGAAACTGCGGCTTTCGGGCTTTGAGCTGCCACCAAACCGAGCGCTCGTCCCAGAAAAGGGTTGCATTTGTCTTCGGGGTTGGGGTCCACTTTTGAAATATTTCAAGGGCTACCCCCCCAAAAAAAGAAATAAATTGCATTTTTCGAGGTCCCCCACTCCCCCCCCCCCTTAGGGACGGAGATTCTGGCGGTCTTTTCCGAGCGTTCAGGGTCCGATGGCAAGAGGAGTGGCAGGAGTCGCAGTCCCTGAGGCGCCGGCGGTTGCGAATCCGACTTTGGTATTTTTTTTTGACCCAGTCTTGGGGCATATAGACTTGATTGCATAGGTGTCCTTTTTGGTTGTTTTGGCAAAAGAACAGATGGAGATTCCTGGTTTACCAGGTGGTTTACTCATCTACCAGGGCCATCTATTTCCCCAAAAGGACGCCTATTAACGGTAGGTCAACGGGTGCAGTACACATTGCCCAGATGCATGCGGGATGTGCCATTCCTACGTTCCTGGCGGGGGAGGGGGAGCTGCAAGGCAGACTGGTGAAGAAGGATTTGGCTCTTTTGGAGCTCTTGGCCGGTGCCCCTTTCTCAAAGCGAGGGTGAAGCTCATCAGCCTTTGTAGCGGCACGTCAGCTGAAACGACACTGTCTCATACGGCTGATGTGGGTGAAAGTTTTCATGGGGGACCCTTGGGTGGGCATCATCATTAGGGTCTTTTTTCCTTTTTGGCACGTGACGGTCCCCGTGGCCAAAATGTTTACCCAACCGAGTCCCGAGGTCCATGCAAATTGAAATCGGGTCAGGAAAAAACAACAACAGAACAAACAACCTCCAACTGATTGGTTTCCTTTTAGTTCCCGCAAAACAAGCACCGCACCAAAATTGCGCCTCCAAAAGAGGACGCCCTGGGCGTGAGTTTCTTCATCCCACTGGCCGTCTCGAGGCCCGCCCAGACCCCCCCTTTATGGCCTTATGGGCAAGGGTGTCTCGTTTTTTTTGTTTTTTTCCCCCACGTTTGGACCGCTCAAAGTGCCGCCAAGACAATGGAGACCCATACTTGATTGCCTGTTGGGTTGGATATGGTTGGATCTTTAGGCTTTGACTTTTCGGGAAATCAAGGGTTTATCATTGACCCCACAAAAAGTGATTCACTCTGAGGGGTCGTTGCAGCAACCAAGCATCAATCAACCAAGGGTTATGAACTGGTGCTCAGTAGATGTGGGAATGGGGGTCCCCATAAAGGAAACCAGAAGGGATGGTTTATAAGGGTCATTCCCTCATTCCCTGCTGAGCACCAGCAAGGTCAATTGGACTCCCATGTCTGAGCACTCCCAACCTCGCCCAGGCGGTGTCGCCCTGTCCCTCTTGGCAAGGCACCAACTGCAGCCTCAAACCGGCTGGGCCTGACCGCAGAATGCACGAGCGCCACGCTGGGGCCTGATTCTTGCCCTTTCGGGGCTGGCTTCTGGGGGGGGGGGTCTCTTGAGGGATCCGGATCCCTTCAATGTTTTCCTGCTTATCCCGTTTTTCCAACTCTTTTTGGGGCACGTCAAAGAATACGGCGGGTTGGCCTTATCGGTGGCGTCTCGCCGTGACGTTCTTGTTGATTCCTTTTGCGTCCGGTGGCAACAATGTCAGAGCAATGAACCCCACAGGTCCAGAACTGGCGAAAATGGGCCCACAGGTTCCCATTCGGGGTAATGTTAACCCCGGATTAATAAACCCCTGGTTGATTAATAGGGGGGGATTCAGACCACTTTTGGAGGGGTTTTCACCCCCCAAGTAGTGGGACGGGTTCTACTTAGATCCTGGGTCAACGTTTCCGTTTCGAGGTCCAAATCTTGGAGCAGTTCAAGTCGGCAGTGGAGCACCGGCCGACTGAGCTGGAGCAGATTGTTCTGCAGAGGCGGGCCTACTCAGCGCGGACAGAAACTTGCTCAGTTGCTCGACCATGGGTTGTCTTATTTCTTACCTCGTTTATTAAAAAAACAACTTTGGGGGTAACATGGGCTATATGTCTGTAAAAGATTAACTTCCCCAGGGCTTGGAGTTTTAAGGGGTAAGATTTTAGCAACCACATGTACTTGGTGGCTCCCTGCATCTGGTTCCTTCGCTTTTTAGCTTTCCAGTGGGGGGGGGTTCGATTTAACCCCCCAAACAGTTTTTAGCGGGGCATCTCAGCCCAGTTTAGTCATGGCCCCAGAAGGTTAACCTTTTGCTTCCGGGTCCTTTAGGCTTGGCCCATTGTAAGAGGCAGAGAAGGGGCCAGAGTTCGATTGGGTGAAGCGCATCGCGCATGCCATTCGCTGCCACGATTGTTCGCAAAGGCAGGGCCATTCGCTGGACATCTGTTTGCGCAGGTTGTTGCTTTGGGATCGCTCCCAGTGCGCTGAACCCATCTTGAACTTTGAGCCCATCTTGGACTTTGAGCCTTTTGCATTCGAGTGAGAAGCGATCTTTCGCAGAGAGGGTGGTCAAGATGCGTGAAGGGGATTCGAGAAGCTTGCCCCCAAAAAGGGAGATGTGGGTATGGGTCAAAATTAAACTATCAGGGGACCGCAGGGTTTAATCCATGTTTCCACTTACCAGGGTTCCATTTGAGGTACACTTTTTTTTTAACCCGGAGCAGTGTCAAGTTGAGCCCTGCTTTGGGCAGAGGATCCCCCAAAACCCGGACGGAGTCGCCCAACCCCAGCCCCAGCCACAGGTCACAGGTATTTTTTGGGCTCCCGGAGCCGAATCAAAACCCGGGCGGATGAAGGTTAGGGACAGTCCCAACCCAAAGGCAGGCGCCTTCGCCTGGTTTGGGTAGGTCATGATGCCACATGTTGACTCAAGTGGCAGTGGGTGAAAAATGATGGGTAACCCCAAAATGGGTTGCACTGGTAAATGGAACCCATGACCAAGACAGGCGTTTTCTTTTTTTTTTGGGGGGGGGGGGGTGGTTTCATTTTGACCCACACCCAAGTGAAGCCGCATTTCCAGGGGGGTTCCCCTCCCACTAGCTAACATGGGTTTGTGCACAGACCCTTGTACAGGGCTCCTTAAAAAGATACATTTTGCCCTCGTAACAGTCGGTTTTAGCTATAGGGGTGAAGCCGGCTGAAGCCGGCAAGCGGGGTTGATTTTGAAAAAAAAAGTGCTAGCGACAAGCAACCTGAAAAAAAACGTTAAAAAAGGTTTCCTCGAGGAAGCCGCAAGCCCCCCGCCACGCCATGGGGCCAAAAGGCGGAAACCGCCCACGAGGTCCAAACCAGGGCCTCTGAATCCACTCTTCCAGGCCCTGGATCACCCTTGCCAAGCCCAGTTCAACATGGGCTCATCTGAACAAACGGATAAACATGGAATTGAAGGAATCCTGGCATGTTTTACGCTCGCGTCTGTGTTGTTGGCCCATTGGCCCTCGGCCCTCACGGCATCAGTGGAGTCAGACCTTGGATCAGGCACAAATGGCACGGAAGACACATAGACATATAACCGAAAATCTGCCTGCAGCAAAGGCCTCGTGCAATGGACTCGCGCCACTTGCTGGAACCGCACAAAAGCACGGAGCACCACAGAATCCAGATCTCGGCACTTTTTTGCCTGTGTCACGCAGTGCCGGCTGGCGGTTGTGGCCCTGTGGCTGGATTGGTTCAGCCATTTAGGCCACTAAGCCACTAACGAAGCGACTGGGAAAGGGGTTATGGTGGCATGCAATACAGTTGCGCGCGCCCACACATCCGCACACGCTTACGGCAATGCGGTTGCGTGGAGCCAGCCAGGCGTTCAGACTCAAGCAATGTTCACACTGGGCTAACTTGAAAACTGCTGACAGTTGGACAAGTGAACAAGTTTTGGCTTCTCACTGTTTAGGCGTGTCAGCGTCAGGCGAAACAGTGAGCATTGAGCAGTTTGAGTCAGTGAGCGCCACAGGCCATCGGAAAAAGGCTCAAAATACCAGAGAACGTCCTGACAAGAGGACAAGGAGTCAGGAGCCCTGTACCCGCCTTGCTGCACACCGTGGAATGGCGGGGCGCTGCCGCGTCAGACTCACTTCAGGAGGTGCCTGCCCAGCTTCATCAGATCCACTGTCTCCGGGAGCGGCTTGCCAGAGGCAGCCTTCTTCTTGACCGTCACCTTCACAAAGCCTGCGCGCTGGATGCAGGCAACAAATAAATATCCGTGGGCCATGACTGCAAATGAACAAGCCAAACATTGCAACCACGGCAACCGCAAACCGTCGGTTGGCAGTTGACGGTGCCTGAAGAAGCGTCCGGGCTCGCGCAAAGAGACACTCAAAAAGAGCCTAAGACTCGAGTCTCTCTGCGTAAACAGGGGCCCGGGGCCCTGATAGACTCAATGACTCAATGTGACTCAATGTGTGGAGGTGTCAGTTGTCTTGGAGTCTTGGAGTCTTGGAAGTCTTGGAGTGTTGGAGTGTTGGAGTCTGTGTCGACTGAAAATAGTGGTCAACCGTCAACAGTCATCGGCAGAATTCCCCACTGGTCCTGTTTTGACTCGCCACCCTTACCTGATGCCTGATGATGAAAAGTATCACGGAAGCCGGAAGGCGCAAGCAGGAGGGAAAACTTGCAAAACTAGGCTAAACAAACGGACAGAGCAAAGCGAAACAGTCAAAAGAGTCTACGAAACATATGAAACGAGCGAGAGAGTGTGTGAGAACAGAAGCGCTCTAGCAGAACGGGTCAAAACGGGCGCTGGAGGCGGGGAGTCAGGGACGGGGGGGGGGGGGAAAGGGGGAAAGGTAAGCGTTGGCTGAGCAATAAGCGTGAACTTCAGCGTGAACATTACACATACACATATGTTAGCACTCACACTCAGACTCACACTCTTCAGGCGAGCACGCGAGGCAACAAGCAAACGCGGCAACGCGGACGAAGAGAGGCAGCAGAGACTCAACAGAGACTAATGCGCCGGACAGACCGGCAGGAGTCAGGAGCAATGCAAAGAACATCACATGACTCAGCACGACTCAAGACAGGGCCAGGAATCAGAACTGTCAATAAAACGCACAGCTTTGCATCAGACCCGATCACCAGTTACACAATGGCGCGCGTTATGGAAGAAGAAGAAGAACAACAGCAACAGCAACAACAGCAACAACAACATCAACATCAACAAACAAAACAACAACAGCAACAAGTAACAACAACAGCAACAACAAGAACCACAACAAGAACAGCGCAGCAAAAGCATCCAACATCACCATCATCATCTCGAACACAGCAACACCAACAAACAATGGCAGCATCAACAGCCAACAGCCGGGCCAACAGCCGCAACCAACCAGAACAAAACAGCAACGGCCGGCCCAGCAACGGCAACCACACAAAAACACAACAGAACAGCAGTAACAGCAACTGGCGCTGAAGCAGCAACAGCAACATCATGCAACTGCAACAGCATAGCGGGGACAACAACGGGGACAACTAACAACAACATCATCAATCATCAACATCATCAACAGCTACACCACTGCACCACGCCACACAAATGAGCTACAAGCACAATCCAACACTCAGCGTAACAGGCGTAACAAGGTAAGACTCAGCTCCCACTGAGTCTCACTGTCTCATGTCTCACCGTCTCACCGTCATTAGTGGTTGTTTTGTTGCCGTGTTTCGCCGCTTTGCCGTTTTGCTGTGACTATCTGACTATTCACTATTGACTATTTCTTGTGCGTAAACCACTACATTGTTGCGTTGGGTGTTGTCAATTGGCTGTTGCAGTTGTAGCTGTTGGTGTTGGTCCTTGGTTGGTCCTTAGTCCTTGGAGTCCTTGGTTGGTTTGGCGCTGCTGCGGCTCAGACTGTTGGTGCTGCAGCTGTTGCTGTTGAAGTAGGTGAAGCCGCAGCCAGCCCTTGGGGGCTCTTGTTGTTGTTAGTTTAAGTTGTTGTTTGTTGTAGTTGTTGTTTTCGTCGCTTAGCTTTTGCTACTGCTGATAAGTTCATGTTGGTGTAGTAGTAGAAGTAGTAGTAGTAGAAGTAGTAGTATTAGTAGTAGTAGTAGTAGTAGTAGTACTAGTGGTAGTAGTAGTAGTAGTAGTAGTTGTAGTAGTTGCTGCAGCTGTTATTGTTTTTGTTGTTGGCGGTGGTGGTCAGCGGTGGTGTTGTTTATTTTTGTTTTTGCTTTTTGTTGCTGTTAATGTCGGTTGTGCTGAGGCGCTGTTGTTCTTAATCTTGTTACTGTTCTAGTTCTTGTTTTTTGGTGGGTTGTTGTTGTTGTTACCGGCGTCGTCGTTGTGACGCGTTGTTCCAGTTCTTGTTCAAACTTGCGCTAGTTATGCTTAGCTTAACAGCCGTTGTCATGAGTCCTTGAGTCTCAAGAGTCCTTAGTCCTTAGTCCTTGTCCTTGCTTGTGATTTCTATCGCTCTTTGCCCTGCTGGTGTTGTTCGTTGGTGTTGATAATTTGCTGTTTCGGAGTGGGTTGTTCTTGTGCTTGTTGTTGCGGTTGCTGTTGCGGCTGTTGCGGTTGCTGTTGCGGCTGTTGCGGTGTTGTTGCCGTTGCTGTTGCTGTTGCTGTTGCTGTTGCTGTTGCTGTTGCTGTTGTTGTTGTTGTTGTTGTTGTTGTTGTTGTTGTTGTTGTTGTCGTTGTCGTTCTGGTTCTTGTTCTTGTTCTTGTTGAGTCGTTACTGTTGTTGTCGCTGTTGCTGTTGCTGTTGTTGTTGTTGTTGTAGTAGTAGTGGTTGTTGTTGTTGGTGTTGTTGATTCAGTTGTTGATGCGTTGTTGTTATGTTGTTATTGATGTTGATACGTTGTCATGGTGTTTGACGATTCTGTGAGTTGATGTTGCTGTTGATGCTGTTGTTCGCTGTTGTTGTTCTTGCCTCCGCCGCGCGCGCGCGCAACGAGTTCAAGTTCTGCCGCTGCTGGTCACTGCCGTTGCCGGTGATGTTGTTCCGCT